GTGTGATATCCCCAATCGGCCTTCTCAATGTATGCCCAATCCATCTCCACTTCCTTCCAGTGCATATTTGCTCAGCGATAGGTTCTTGGTTGGTTCGTTGCCAGCCAGCCAGCCAGCCAGAGTCCCTTGTTCCTTATTATTTCTGGCCATCTGGGGTTCAGTAACGAGCCAGCGTAGGCAGTTGTGTTGTTGATGAATGTCTGTAGTTTGTTGGAAATCCCTTTCGTAACGCGTCAAGTCTCTGAACCATACAGGAGCACTGACTTGACTGGATTGGTGTTGAAAATCCGGATCTTGTTTACGCTTTGTGTTGAGTGCAGAAGATCTCCACACCGGTTTCAGGCTAATGAACGCTTGTCTTGCTGTCTTTCCGATCCTGGCTGGCTTTGACGTCCCTGTCTGTGCCGCCTGTAGTTGAAACAGTGCTGCTTAGATAGGTTAAAGAGGCTACTTCCTTCAAGTTTCCCCCGTTCATGGTGATTGGAGCTTGTTGTTGTTGGTGGTGTTGTTGGTCGGGTATTACCATCACCTCTGTCTTCTCCATATTCACTTGAAGTCCCGTCTTCCTTCGCTGCCCTACCCTGCCTCTACTGCCAACTTGTTAGTTTTCACCTGCAGATCTTAGAATTTGTGCGACCTTTAGACACAAGTCACCGGCGAAATCCATGTCTTCTAGGTTCTTTTCCCCGGTCCAGCCAGCGTATTCCCCTCTTCTCGCTCCTCACAGTTTGTTGCATGATCCAGTCCACCACAATCAGGAATATCATGGGTGATAGTAGACAGCCTTGTTTCACTCCTTCCTGTCTTCACTTCAAAAGCATCACTGAGCTTCCAATTGTGAATTACTTGGCTGGCATGTGTCTTCATATAGTTGTTGAATGAGGCTGATATAGGTTTGCGGTATTCCGTAGTGTTGAAGCTATCTCCAAAATACTTCTAGATCGACGCTGTCAAAAACCTTTGCAAAGCCGATGTAGTTGAGGTGTAGAGTTGACTGCCATTCTATACTCTGTCCAACGGTGATACAAAACATTGCAATTTGGTCCGGACATGATTTGTACTTCCTGAATCCAGCCAGCCTGTTCTGGTCGCAGTTTTGAATAAAGCACATCCTTTAGTCTCTCGAGGACGATGCGGCTTAATATTTTGCTTAGGGTGAACAGGAGCGTGATTTCGCGAGTTCTTGCAAAGACTTAGGTCTCCCTTCTCCGGGAGTTTGACAAGGTAATCCTTCTTCCAATCAATAGGCAGGTACCTTTACTTCCTTCCACACCTTCTGCAGTAGTGGCGTGAGCATGTCCGCTGTTGTCTCTGCGTCTGCTCTCAGTGCTTCCGGTGAGATTCCATCTGGTCCTGCTACTTTCCCGCATTTCAGTAGCTTTATGGCACTCAGGATTTCAACTTGATTTTGAAGGCAGGTTCCTTGCACTAGATAGTGAGTTGCCTGAACCTACATCTGCTCCTCGTCTTTATCTGATCTTGTGTCAAGTAGGCTGCGTCTCCACTTTCTTCACATTGAGATGAAGTCGATCTGATTCTTAGTGTAGTATGTCCTGGCGTCTGGAGAAATCAAATCCTTGTCGCTTTGTGGATATCGTTGTGCTTGAACACAGTGCCTAGCCTCCAATCACCAAATCATTGAATGTACAGAATTCTGCAAACAGTTCTCCATTCTCGTTCATCACCTCACCTAGCGCTTCTCAACCCATGGTTAGTTCTCTTCCTGTGTTTTCCACTCCCAGTTTGGCATTCATGTCACCTCACCCATTAGAATTTTGATGTCGCCAACTTGAGTGGTGTCTTGTCCAGTGTTGATTGCAGTTGTCAGCAGAATTCTTCCTTCTTCTCTTCACCTGCATTATTTGTGGGTGCTTAGCATTGTACGATTGTGAGCTTCCTTCCTTTTGAGTTGAACTTTGCGGTCATTATCCTGCAGGAGATTGGTTCCCACTGCATAAGAGCCTTTGATGTTGTTGTGGACAGCATGATAGCCACTCCATAACTCAGTGTGCTAGTTCGTGGTTGTCGTCTGGGTGACAACATTGGAGTAGATTATTGATTCTACAGTTGACAGTTGGGAGAGTTCACTTCCATTCCATCCACTTTCGCAAATTCCAAGCACTTCACTGTGATACCTTCTCATCTCGTTTGCAATCTGAGCAGTCTTGTTTGGTTCATACATGGTGTGGACACTCCGTGTCCCCACGTTCACTTTCGCTTTCATGAAGAGAAGGGAAGACACATCGGCGAATTGGCTTCCCGAAGACTTTCACCAACCGGCGTCATTTCGCCTTTTCGATTCCAGCGAGGAATAATTTTGTTTTCATTTTTTATACTTTGTTTGTACTTTGAAGTTTCTTTAGCAATTGGATTTGTTTTACGGGGTATGGTTGCTAGCCTTACGCCAAACCTTCCCCCTTTACGCTGGCTTAGGACCAGCTAGTAACTAGTGAACTAATTAACCAGGCGAGGTTACTCAATTCCAGCACGTTGAATAACTTAAATATCGGTAAGACAGCAGTATATGAAACCCATTGTCACATATATAACCACGATGAGAATTGTCACAGTAGGAATCAGCGCAGTAACTATCTACTCAAATAAACACTTCCAAATCTTTCTATGCCTCATCGCATGTGATGAAAGCATGGGTAATATTTTGACCTTAGAATTTATGTGACACTTGTGAAGAGATGTTTATGGTTTCAGCTACTTGTTTCTTGAGTAACGATTGTTTTTTTCCCTTCTGTTTTCTTGCCTCCCTCCACCATTCAATGTTCAAGTAGAGTAATTTGCATATAGATTAAACTACTTGAATGGATTGGTGAATGAAAATAGGTGGTGACAACCGAGTGTTTTGATTCTCGTCCCTCTCACACCTTCACCTCCACCACCACCACCAACATATTGGATAGTAATCAATGCCAAATCATGTATGGATATCTTTTGTATTCAATGTTGACAGAATATTTAATATCTTGTTTGTAGGATGATGGAGATGAAGGAGTAGAAGAAGTACTGAGAGTGTTTAGCTTGTTAGTATATTTGAAATGAAAGTTTGAGGGGAGTGTGTTAGGATTCGATGCATAACCTTTACGTTTTCTTTGTTTATATGATTGAGGGAAGTAATATTTCGATCGTTATCACCTCACGTTTGACTTTGCACTTTATGTGATTACTGATTTTGACTCGTCCATGCTTGTGCTAGTGTTTTGTCCCTCAGAAATGTGAAATAGTGTCCAGTGCACACTCCGGTAGTTAAAATGTGGAATTTAAAGACTGCAAACGACCAACTATTTCACTTTGCTTATACCTACACTTTAGCTAGTATGGTGGATGTGTCTTGATGTGTTAGTTCCAATTTTTTTGAAGGACACGCGCACTGAATTCATACTTTTCATTGTGTATGTCTTCACTTTTGTTATTCCTATATAATACGTCATTAGAATCGAAATGATGCAGTGATTGATAGTTCAAACTCTTCGAACTTCAATCATCGCTGCGTATTAATCATATTATTCAAATCATTTATTCTTCCTCAACTTTCCAGTCCTACTAAAAAGTCCCTCTGGAGAATTATTCTGATACTAGGGTCTCTTGTTTTTTATATTCAGGTGGTAATTCTATAAATATCTGTACAGTTTTTGGATGAGTGTTGACTCATACCTTCTGGCCAACGTACTTCTTGAGGAAAAGTTTATAATAAATTCACACTGACTACCCAGATTGAACACTAGCTTATCACTTTTCATAATAGGTAATTCTGATAGCCTACTGAATGCACAGAGGACAACGTCGGCCTCATTTGTGATACACATAACGCTGTGAGACATAGAGGTGTGAGCACACTTCTTGGTTTGGTATATTTCACCACCTAACTCCTGCTGGGACTCATCAGCAGGGCTTACTTATGACTTCCAGAAATTAAGTGTTCCATGAAAGATTCAAAGCCGTTAGCATGCTTTATCTTAAAAGTATACAATCTCCTTCAACATTGAGGATGACGGTCAACAGTCGCCCACTTGGCACTGCAGTGTTGTGGCACTCATTTAGCTCACTGTGCTGTAAACCCAACTGGTAAACCTCGGTACACGATTCTTTAATTTGTACTCGGCGATAGTTAGCTCCCTGAAGTTGTCGAAGCAGCTCAGCGTGGCATGAACACATAAGGTTTAGTAAGATTTCTTCTGGGATGAAAGTACAAGAATGCCTTAATATGAGTGTAAAACTAGGGCACTGCGGTACAAGAATGCTTGTTCAAATAATTCACGAGTACAAATGTTCGCTTCCCTGTTTCGAATTTCCATGCGTTTTCTTATCCGATCGAACAAACTTGATGATTACTTTTGTCTTTAAAGCTGTAAAGTGCTTAATATGGCTGGGTGAATGAGTGTGATACGTAGCCATTGGGAGCTTTAGAATATCTGACTAGAACTCTTGAATGACAATTTGGATGTTAAACATTTAACTTTTCATAGAATCAATTGGTATTGAATCGCTGTATTTTGTGAAGTTATTGCAGTTTCGCTGACGATATTTGCATTTTATGTTTTTTTTTTTACCGAGATTAGGTTTTCTTAAATTTCTGTTAGAATGTACACTAATACATCTCGAATTTATTTTGGTTTATAATTACTCAATCTTTAGTCGAAGTGTCACTGACTTATCCCGTCTTGCAGTACAAAATTATCACAACTAGAAATCTTTTTCATGTGATTCTATAAAAGATTTTTATTTTGTTTTTCACATCAAAAGGAATACATAGTTAAACTTGATTTCTTGATTTAGTGGTAAATTTCAAAATTAGCTTTTTTATCTTCGCAAGAGTATTAGAAGTAGAAAGTTTCGCATTTGTTCATTTACATATGTGTGAAGTAACTAAAACTAAATGAAGGTATATTATTGTTTTTATTATTACCACCTAGTATCCTCAGAAGTACACATGTATACTAATATATATATATATATATATATATATATATATATATATATATATATATACTGACTGGGAATTGTTTTTTATCACTTTGGTCAATACAACTACTGTGCTATGAGTACTGAATCAAATGAGAAAGTACTTAAAGCAGTTGAGAAGCTAACTGGTGGGAGAAGTGATAAATGGTGGGGATGTTTTGCGGACCGTCGAATCATTTTACTGATTGTATTTATTGCCTTTTTGCTCGATTACATGTTATTGACTTGTGTAGGTAAGTCTCGCACGTGAATGTATTGTATTTTAAATTGCTTGCACTTGGAACGTCAGTTTATTTGGGTCTTTTTTATGCAAGTATGATCATATTTCTTAAGGCGATTGTGGAATTATGGCAGTCGTGAGACGTTTATTGGTATGGTTCATGCTGTAACACCTTAGTCTCTGAGGTATTATGCTCATTAGTTGTAGTTTTGTATCATGAGCTCGAATATTTGCCTTTAAACCCCAAGCGAAATTAAAATCACATTCTGTTGTGTACTACCTAACATCTCACACAGTCAGGTGAATTGTGACTTGTTATGTTTGAACGGAATTAGGGAACGTAGCTGCAAATGTTACCGAAAAAGATTTCACAGTGACCCTTAACTGCTCACTGGTTAACGTTGCGAGTATTTTTTTACCTATGGCAATTCTGCTGAATGTTTTATGCAACACATATATATGAAAAGACTGTGTCCATACTAACTTGGATAATCCCTTATGGCTCACAACTTTGGCGACTAGTGTCTTAATACACTTCATTGATGACTGTTCATAAAGCCGAGCAAATATATTTAAATTCTTGTTCGCTATATTTAGCCCTCACATATTGATACTAGCTTTTCATAATGACATTGTATTGGAAATACATTTCTAACTTCATTTGTGTCATTCTGTTATGCAACGCGAAGTAACACATTAAAATGTGAATAATTCCATAGTTCCCACTTAGAAAATAGTTCCTTTCATCTAAGAATGGACCGGTTCATTTCCTTGTAGTGAAAATCTACAGTGCCTAATGTCAGAAAAAGTTGATGATCTGAGAGTAAAGTGACTCAGTCATATTGACTTTTTTATCTGTATGCTTATTTTACCAGGTAGAAAGCGAATTATCTTCCGTTTGAGCATTTCACTGAATTCATTAGTTACACTCACTGATTTCCGCTAAGATAAGCATTATGTTGAGACGGAATTTTGAATAAATATTTGCTAATCGCTAAATGATTGTTGTTTTCAATCTTGGATTTTCGCTATGCCGTAAGTGAGGAGAATATAATATTTCTCTCTGAACTGACAAAATCCCCTTAAAATACTTTACACACTTAAGGCATAATAGACATTTACCTGAAAGGTGTGTCAACGGCTGACAGATTTTTGACCTTTCATATTTCAAATTAACGTTAATCCTCGTGTGAAATTCTACTACATTAAATATTACAGGATATTTGTTTTTATGGTTAGGTTAATGCTGACTGGATGATATCCAACACGATCACAGAAAGGCTAATACTTAAGTATTACCATTTTCAGAGCAGTATACTCGCAGCGACAATTGCAGCCACTTCAGTTTAACTTTATCAAAATATGGTTTTGAGTCATTAGTGAACTACGTATTTTTCAACTCACTTGTATGGCATCATAAAAAAGCATAATGAACAGTCTGTTCGGCTTTTCCAACATTGGACTACACTGTGCTACCTGGTCCTTACTGCTGACTGAATTCTATCAATCCTATTTGTCATGAAAAATAATGATCTGGTTCTTGAGTGAAACATGTGTACAGGTCGAATAATTGAAGACGCTCATCAAATGCTTTCGCCGAATCGCTTCATTTTATTAAACACGACAACATTTCCGCAATAACGTAGAAAATACCACTCCCTGAAATACTTATTTTTGCATAACTCAAAATGATAGTGAGAGAAGCCATCCGAACAGAGGCTTCAATGAGTACATTGAGATAGGTTAGGGTGGTCTGCTTAAATCTTTGGACATCAAAAACACTTTCACTGACTATATTCCATCACATTCTTCCCTTTCAGTTTGTTTTAATCTTTTGAATGTCTCCTGAACGCATCATATACCCTCGCACGTTTTTAAAATGTTTTCGAACTGTGGTACAAGAGTGCTTGTTCAAATAATTCACGAGTACAAATGTTCGCTTCCCTGTTTCGAATTTTCATGTGTTTTCTTATCCGATCGAACAAACTTGATGATTACTTTTGTCTTTAAAGCTGTAAAGTGCTTAATATGGCTGGGTGAATGAGTGTGATGCCTAGCCATTGCGAGCTGTCAACCAATTCTTTTATGCCCATTCCTTGTGCGTTTACTTTTCGCAATATTCTGGCATTAAACGGTGTATTCCCTCTGTTGACGTGGCTGATGCAATCCACCCAAAACTTATCCTTATTTGAATCTGAGACTTTTGAGCATTGGTCACTGCTGTTGTAAATTCTCTCTCTGCGAATCTGTTCTCTTGTTGGACCTGGTTGGCCCCTTCTTTGTGGCTTGTCCTTGGAAATGCGGATATTTTCTTTGGAGGCATATCAACAATGAGCAGTGGCTTAACTCAATTAGGGTGGTTGCCGTTATTTTTTTGTTGAATTCAAGTTGGTATCCATGATGGAGAAAAGTTTGAAATCTGGGAGGAATAGATAGCTGACAGTGTCATATGTGCTCACTGTTTAGGAGTCCCGTACTAGGAGAAATTAGCCTTCTGTTACTCCCAAGTTTTCAGTGTTTTTCCAAATGATATCAGCGGATGGTGAATACTAACGTTTAGCCAATCAATAAATCTTCATAAGAGCTCAAAACTGAATCATTTTTACCACTTAAACTCTCTTTGATTGTATATGTCCTAAGTTGTTCAATTATGTACTAAATATTATCTAACTATTCCTAGTGTAATATGTCTGTCAGGTGAATAATATTGTGTTTTCCTTGAAACTATAAATGCTAGGCATTAATGTTGAAGGAAACACTACCGGTAATGAAGGTATGATAGATTGCATTGTTATTATGGAATAAAATTTGCGTCTAGCGGATTCCTCGCAGCAATAAAGATATAAAATCATTGCAACCATGCATAAAGTGATATATATGTATTTCCTTAGTCTTTTAGCATTTTCGCAAGTTCCTTGTCTTCCAGGCTTATAAGCACACACAAAACCACACAAATGTCGAATGCAAACGGCTTACACCTACATACGGGACTTGTTTTTTTTCCCGGTAATCCAATAAATGATAAGTACTCCTATAATATTCCTAAGACATCTTGTGGTCGACATTCTCATTGCACCGTATATCATACGTCTGGAAACTTCTTATATATTCAAATGAGCAATGAACTTTAAAGTTCATTTTGGTGGCCAGGCGTATCTAATTTAGACAAGAGAGCATGTCATGTTTTACTGATTTTCTACTGAAAAAGGGTTTTTGTCATACACAGCGATGCTTTCTTGCAGCTTAATAATTATAATACACACAAACAAATGATACTTAGTCGATATTTTAAAAAGAAATTTTAGTGGCGAACTGAAATCGACAGAGATTCTCCTTCTGCTTTTATTTGCATTTGAAGTGTAGTCGCAGAAGATTTTACAGCTAAGAAACTCTTACATGTAGGGTAAATACGTAGTGTCAAGTTATGAACAGTGTGGTGAACTGCATATTAAAACTGTAAGGATGCAGATTATTTCAAGAAATTAAGGGGAAACAAATTTCAGTGCACACTATGAATTCATCTACTTTGATGTTATCTCTTCAGCTGCCTATGAATTAGGAAGTTAAAGAGTTCACGTACTCCACAGTTGAGAAGTGCCCAGTCCATTGAAGAGTAGTATCAGAAATGACTCAGTCGTAAACTAAGTATTTATGCGGAAGAGTAGGCTAAACATTTTTCGAACGAAGAGAGATTTAATAATTGATTCCGCAAATTGATAACGAAAGCTTAATTAAGATCTTTTCAAGCGAGAATGACTTCAATTGAAGGAATGAATGTTTGAGAACTTTTAGCATGGGGTAACTATTCTGTTTCAGTTCGGAAATCATCCAGGTGAACGCCTTTGGTATTATAGACATTAGATCATAAAATGTGGTTATCAATTCGATAGCTAAAATTTTCTCTTTTCAGTCCAATATAACATGCAGCTACTCTCCACTCTGTAGACTGGCTGGTTTCCTGCAGGTCCTGTAGAATATTTTGTCTGTTTGTTTAACACTTCATTCAGCTCACTTTTTACATATAAAAGTGAGGTGATTACAGATAGAGTGAAATCTTTCCTGAACTTAAACGTCTGCTGACAAAGTTCAGTCATAACGGCCACCCTGAACTGGATTATACTTCACCCATGCTGCATATAGATTATTTCGTACTCGTCATTTTATTACTTGCCGCGAAACTAAAAAGTGTCTTGGTTATCGGTGTTGATTTCTCCTCTCTGTGTTCAAAAAAGTGAATGAAAGTGAATTTTACTTTTTTAAACACACCCAATTTTCTGTTTCCAAGCAAGTAGATAATGGCATCTAGGACTTACATACAACGAGTGTCTGCTTCATTCCATCTGAAGTTTTCAACATTCCGGTTTACGTAGAGGCACCATTTATACAACAGATTTCATATTACTTAGACAAATTTCATACATGCGTAAGTAGATATTCGCTTCCTTGTGAACTGTATCCAGACAAATATTATTCAGCTTCATTGGTTTACCTGGTGAAATTCTTTGGGTGCAAAAGTCAATGAGTACTTCATCTAACAGTAATAAAACCAAGTCTGCTAACTATCTTGTATAAAATGTTTCGATAACTTGGTCTGAATGCATGAAAATAAAATCATGTTTCAGGTTCTTATCATTTATAGTAAACACGACTATATTTGTACAATTGTCGTTCACTGCAGTGAGGATTTCAGTTCTATTTTAGCTGAAGTACAAAATGTTTGCTGAGAAACTTTTATTGAAGAAGTCCTTTATTTAACAAAATAATAAAATTTTGTGAAAATGTATTTTGAGAAAGGTTTTCTTATTAAGTAGGGGAAATTATTCTAATTGTGTGGAAGACCATGGGTGAATTCTGCTAAACACAGTACACCAACAGCATATTACTAATTGAAGTGACTGGTGAGAAACCAGTTTTACCATTCCGCTGGATTACTAAGATGACAAAGAAGTCTTAATACACGATTGTTGTGAAAATCCAACTCAAATTTATTGAATTGTTCCCGTCAGTCAAGTTAGGCTCATTTTATCAATATGTTCCGTGGAGAGTTCAGACGGAAATTATGCAACTCAGAAGATGTTTCGTTTGAAGATAAGGATTAGGTATAGCAGTAAAATTCCCCATGTTTCTCCTTCTTCTAGTCCTTAAAATTAAAAAAAGCAAGAACTCTGGATTGTTTTTTAGGATACAACATAAGTTTCCGTTATTATTGAAGGGAATACTTTGACACCCTTACAGAAATTCCCAGGCATCCAATTTGGATAAGTCTACCTTTTGACCATGTGCCCAGCTTATCTCAAAAGAACTGATTTTCACTGTCAGCTGCCTAGAACCGCGTAGCACCATTAATAGGGCATCATAATGGTGAGTAAAATGTTTAACAGAGTTCTGTTAACACTCAGGATTTCGTAAATTGTAATTGATAACTCCCAGGTGACCAATTGATGAATGCCAATCACCTCTACAGGAGGTCACTCGCGGCTACAGCAGCTCAGTGGTAACAATTTCGTCAGCACCACTGGTTGATGTACATTCGAGTCTTACAGGAGAAGTCTCTCGAGGTAGCTTATGCGCCTTGCTAAAGTAGGCCAACACCTTGAGACTTTCAGTCTATCATCTCAAAAAATCCACCTAAGCACTCACATATTAATCAACTGACACAATATCAACAAGTACGTAACCTTAATTGAACATTGTAAATTTTTATCAAAACAAGGAGAACGAGATTCCTAGAACAAAATGTGATTACTCAGTTTTGTGAGTTCCATTCAAGTAGTATGAAAGTGAAATATAAAAAAGCCAGTTCAGAATAAAAAGCATTTAGGTAACTTATACAAAGTTGACTTTTCTGTAAATCTCTTTTTTTACGTTGACAAAATATAACAGTATCTTTTCGTGCGATATAACATTTATTCTTATACAAGCTGAAATAGAATTTAGACCAAAAATACTTGAAGTCTGAAATACTCGTTAAAAAGTAACATCTAATGCAGCTTTTTTCAATATAAATTTTCTCATCACGTTTTTTAGTTCCAGTCGTACCAAAAGTATTGTTAAAATATCGCTCAGAAGATTTATCACGTTCAATAAGATCAGAATTGTCTACAGATGAACTGTGTGAAAAACTTCAAATTGTAGATAAAATAACACCTAAAGAATCTGTTGAATTGGCTTCGAAAAAGTCAACTGAAGAAATAGCTAACGAAATTCAAAGACTCATGAATATACAGTACAAATCAAACAATATAACAATTAATGAATGCATACAAAAAACAGCGGAAGTGATTCGTACAATCATGCAAAATGAATTACGGAATGAAGATCTTAAAATTGGTGTAATGTTTGCATCGAAAGCAATTGTGCAAACCATTGTTAATCCATTTGTTGGTCCGCTAACGAACAGGTTAGTTTGTCCATGTCATCTGAGGTAGTCTTCTAATTCTTTTCCTTTCGCCTCCCCCCTCTTTCTTTTTCGTTCATACCAGGAGCATTTCTGTTACAAGACATATATATTTAAGTAACAGTGATAACTTGAAGCATCAATCTTCATTCGTAGTGAAACTGACTTCAATGAAAAATGGAAGCTCTAGACAATTGATGGCCAACCTCTGTCATTAATCTGGTACTCATGTCCAGGATATACTAATTCACATTCACTTATCATATAACGTGGATGATATGGTTTTGAGTACAAAATTGGGAGAACTTTGGGTGAAATTCTTATGTTTTGAGGTGTAGAAGTAGCATACCGAAAGGCCTAAACATGCAATTGTCTAAATATCTGCACAACTTTTAACTTTCAAGACAATAGTGATGAATACTATCTCAAAACTAAAATACCAACTAACCTCAAGATATATTACTGTATAGTTCCGATTAGCATTGTGCTTCTAGATGGATATTCTGAAGTTTTGTTGGAAAGCCTTGACCTGTAGGGTCAACCAACTGGAAGTAAAGCAGATGCGTACTGAAGAACTTAAGTGAAAGTCGCGTTACATCGCGTATTGACAGATGTAGGGAACTGTGGACAATTGAACTGCCACCCAGTGGCTAGATGGTTAAAGCGTTCGAAGTGTGACTTGAAGGTCCTGAGTTTAGTCCCTAGCTGGGTCGTAGGTGCGCACAGCTCATGAGTCCCGTACTAGGACGGAACAGCTGCCAAGTGCTCTCGGATTTTCAGTGGTTCTTCAGCTGGTGTCAACCAGTAATGAATACTACCTCAACAATGAAATCTCATTTACCTCAAAATATATAGTTAGAAGCATTAAGAACAAACTGAGATAATATCCACATTGAAAAACGTTTTCCTGCACAGGAATAGGTTTTAGCTTGCAAGTCATGAAAGTCAACAGTCCTGTCTAAGGCACAAACACACCCTGCCCACATTCGATTTTATTTAGGGAAACAATATATAAAGAAGACAAGTAGTGATACCTGTGCATAATTTTTCAGGTACATTCAGAGGAAATTAATATCTATATACTAAAAGTTACCAAGTGCTGATGACCACTGCAAATCACGCAGTTCTATTTTACTTTCATATAAAAATACTGACAAAATCTCGTGTACACTCTCCTTTACAAAACTTGACGGGAAAATTTTGATTATGTGTTTTCTGAACTCTATGATTTTATCGTGAAGCTTTCATTGTCCTTATAGACAAGGCATTAACAGCACAAAATACAGAAAGTATTTTGATCTGTAACTAGGGTTATGGTTTGTGATATACGTTCATTTATTTATTTGTTATTTCACATCATTTGGGGATGGCTTTATCTAATTGATCCCCATAGCTTTGCAAGTCAGCATACAGCTGTAGTTTTCCAAACCTTCATCAAACAATAACTTTTTAAAATAAAGTAACAGCAAAAGTCAGATCACTTGTGGTACATAATGTAAATAGTAAATTTTTAACACACTTATGGTGAACGTTTCATGTAGAAAGATGAGAATATCCACTTAATGACTAAATATGCGACGTTCATCCGTATCCTCTCAAGAGTTAATACCATCTGAGTCAGGAAACAAAGGTGAACAGCTTATAACTTTTAGCAATACCTTTTTATATCTGATTCCGTTTTTAACTTTTAACTCTTAGTTGGGGTAAATAGTCTTCCTGATAAAGACGCACTGGCTTTCTACCAAGATTTATGTTGTCACTGTTGTGTCACTCGGGGTTAGAAAGAGGGGGATAGGAATGGATCATGGATCAAGTGCTGAAATGTAAGTAAAGTATTTCAGTCCTTTTTGCTTTTGAGTTTCTGTTCGAGAAGATATTTAGGCAAAAGCAAAGATCATAAATTTAATTGTCAAAATGCGAAACTTACTAGAAGACGGGTGAAAGTTTTCCGCTAGAATTTCATAACTATTACTTCTCCAAACCATAATTTATTCAGATGTCCCTGATATATTCATCAGTTGCTAAACGTCCTAGCATTTATGAGGTTTTAATAATTTTATTTATGGGTTTCTTTCACAAATACAGGATTGGATACAGTATACCAATGTTTACAGGGTTTGTCGTTACATTCATATCTACAGTTGGTAAGTAGTTATAGTGAGAGTAAATGCTTTTATGTTTATGTGCATGACTACATAAGATAGACGGATGCTACTTTTTATCTGGTTAATAACAGACTTCAATGGTTTGTAAGCAGCAGTTATGTTTTTTATAAAATATTAGATCCTACTTTGTAGAACGAATCGTGAAAGTCTGTTACTAATCCAATTTTTACTTCACCGTAGAAGTTAATTTTTGAACAAAAGATACCAGTATTTAAGTGAATTTGAAACATAGGTTGTGGAATACTCCAACTGTTCAACTTCCACACTATCTCAACGGACAGATATTATCAGTATCAAAAATGTCAATACTGAGTAGCAGTTTCATTCGTCCCCTTTCATAATAGTACATCAAGACCCATGTTCAGAAGAAAAAGATAGGATTTTTAAAAGCATTTCTCTCAGAATCCCTAAAAACTGTGGTTTAAACAGAAAAAAGCTAAAGGAATAAAGATATATGATTTCACAACTGTGATAAACGAAAGATGCAATGAAAACCGATTGTGAGTAATTTCACCTAGAATCTCAAATAACCGGATTCGGTTGTCTTGTGATTATAAAAAAGGGGCGAGACTTTTCATGTCAAGCTTATATCATTAAACTTACATTTCGTAGATTAGTAGTTCATCTTGATTTAGCTATCCTTATCGCTCCTCAGAGCTAATCTTACTTCGGCTTGCACAGTTAACTAGAACAGACAGCAGCTAGACAGGTCCACCGAGCAGACTAGTCACTATAATTAGTGAGGGCTTAAAAGTTCACTCACTGTCTCACTTCTTTCAACTAATACTCTAAGACTAACCTTCACGTTATTCGTGTGAGAGTTCTTTTATACCAATTGACTGCTAACAAGACAAAAGTGGTCGAGTACCCTCATTCTTCTCATTTCTTTGAACTCAAGTGGCTATACTTCACGGCCACAAATTAAAAGTTTGTGAACTGTTGCGCTGTATACTCGTTCCGATCTTGTAGGCAGAAAACTGATATAATTTGGGAGAAGCCAATAGAGTATTTATTACCCGTTTGGGGATTGTTTTGGTATACGTAGTCAAAACTGACTTTTCAGGCACAAACATTTTAAGTGTACTCGTCAGTTTGGCTTCTTTATATCACAAAAGATGTCAACTCAGAAATGTCCTATAGTAATCATTTGTTTCGAAGAGGTGATAAACCTATCTCAAACATTATTTAGTTACCACCCAATGCATCCAGAGGACTCTGTCTTTCATGAGTATATTCTTTTCTACAGCAATATACCATCTGCTTGTCATTTATGAATCAAGAAATCTTGGTTTGTCAAGTTAAATATGGAGAGCAAGGCGTAAAACATATCCATGTCAAAATTAAATAAAAACGAGGAGCCTGAATTTTGTTGATTGATACCAGTAAAACCAAATAAGAATTTAACTCAAGGCAGTTCTGCCGCAGCTTTTGAACCGCCTGGTATTATCCATAATTACTACCTTCTCCCTCTCCCTTTCTTACACTTGGTACAGGTGGTGATGATCATTTGGTTTACATCTGAACTACATTTAATCCTAAATATTTTAGCAGTTTACTGAAATATGTCTCCATTTATCTGTCAATCTGTAGGTCTGTCTACTCTATGTTACCCTTTGTCTACTTATCACATTCTTCTATGAAAGACATTTTGATCTATTCACCTTCTAGCTGGGCTACAAAAATTTTTTAGCTATTGTTTTCCAGATTCTATTCTGGTGGTAATTATCAACGATGTAAGCTTTTACAAAGGTCTCCAAGTGGTTGCAACTTTCTGAGTATTCACTGTGCAGAAAATTACTTCTTATTAAGATAGCTGTGATTGGAAGAGAATTAATTTCGAATTAATATGAAATGCCCCTCATGGTAGTCATTAGTCAGGTCTACTCAATTAAAAGACTAGTGTTACAACGAAAATTTCTTTTCCCAGGCATTTCAATCTTGAAGTTGTAAGATAGCAAATTTATACATTTTTCTTGTGTCACTATTTAATGGTTAAAAGTGGTTTGTCAGACATGGCAACAAAAGTTGTGTCATGACATGAGCTATCATTAGAATTAAAAAGTTTGTGAGTTATGGAGATTAATTAAAATATAGCCGCAGTTGCATGGAGGTTGCTAAATTTGGATAAGTAGTTTAGTAGCATGATAAAATATTCGGAAACTGAAGTGTAACTAGAAAGGACATAGAAACAAGAATGAACCGTAGATTACGTAAAAAGTGAACAGTCTGGAAAGAAAGAAGTGAAATAGGAGGCCGGAACTTATGACCATGAAAACAGAAGTGACTGAAAACTTTATATATTTAGTATCAGGTTTTAGAAAGCATTAATCTGCCCCAAGTTCCTTCAAATAAGGCTTTCTTGCTATCTTTATATTTGTAATGTCCTACATTATTGTTCCAACTAAGGGAATGCATCACCGGCTACAGATGATAATAAATCTTAGGAAGTAAGTTGTTGTCGCAGCATCGCGGTAAAACTGTCTGGATTACTTGGATTGTGAACTAGAAATCATATTGCAGAGTTTCCTTTGAAAAGTTAGGTTTCGCTGTTGAATCCTTATACAAATGAGCTTCTTAGCATAATATAACCTAGCAAAACAAGCATTGTAGCTGATAAATTTCAAATGGTTCATTACAACTGCTGAGCTTAACCATTCAGTGGAAGTAAAGGTTGAAGGGGTACATTAGTGAACAGATGGTAATCTGGATAAAGAATACTTCAGTGTTAAAGTTGTGACGTATCTTCTAATCGGTCATGAGTAACTGCTCCATATCCTAACCACTGATTAGTGGAATAAATTCTTAGAACTTTGAATAGTTTATATGAGAATAGCAGTTGGTTTCTTCCTACAGTGTAATTTTTTCTCAGTGAACTTAAATACACTCCAGATCGATTACTTCCCAAACAGTATTTGTTAAGAAAAAGTAAACAGGTGCAAAATGTTAACAAAGCGACTGTTGATAAGACTGTTTTTTATTTATTGTAGTGTTTTTAGGAATGACATTCTCACTGAAAGAAGTTCTGAATCACATCCATCACCGATATTGATGGATGGTTACAAACTACTCAAACTGATTTAGTTTTAACCGCACCAGAATTAATTTATTATTCAAATGAAGTGAATAAGTAATTGTTTGCAAAATTTTCATCCTGTTATGAGAATGAATTGATTAGGTCTAACCAACTTGGATTTGTTACAGAAGCCTGGAGTATCTTAAATATTTACCTCAGGTTCAGACCAAACACGAAATAAATGCATGAAACAGAATGTGATGCATTTTTGAATAGACAATAAAGTAACTAGAGTAACTGTTGCTTTAAAAGGTGCCTTAATTATCAAACTTTAGATGACTAGAAATCCCACAACGTCTTCAATTGAGTTTTAAAGTGTCTAACGTAACAGGAAATAGCGAATGAGGAGAAGAACAGCAGTTTTAAAGTCATTGTGGATGTTAGAAGAGTTATGTTGAATATATCAGATAAGTTTTAATAAATTCACTTATATTCTGGTTGGTCTCGCATCAGAAAGTGAAGCTAGCGGTTTTCCCGTAGAAATAACTAATCCTCAATGAAGAAGAGATTCAAAAGGAAGCCGGTATGAACCAAGGTTAAACGAGCTTATACGGATACTTGTATACTCAGACAACTTTCTAGCTCTAATTTATTGTTTAGACTAAACTGATACTCTTAACACAGAAAATAACATTTTAACTTAATAAATAAATTTACTGACTTATTGGACAAGAATTGTTAATATTAATATTTTTATTTTATTTGCTTAGTCTTCGCATTTGGAGGAAACTACGTTGTGCTGTTTATCGCTCGTGCTTTACAAGGCGTTGGGTCTTCATTTTCTACAGTTTCAGGTGGCTTTTAGTTTTGAAGAGATTCTAGTTTTATGCATGTTCATAAACTTCCTGTTACTTTGGTACGCTGTGTGAGAATGCATATAGGAAGCATACTTTTGAACTGTTAAATAAATTTAATCTTGGTATTGTCCCATCTGTGGCTAATAACGAACTGTCAAGGTCATGTTTGGTTTTAATTTTACCACAATAAATTTTCAGAATCCGAGTGTTTATCAGAGCTTTTACTGAGACCCCGATTTAACACTTAACAGTTTAGTGAATAAGAGGTCTAAGTAGTTTTAGATCAATAGATATCAAGTGTTGTCATATTTTATGAACACCTGGTGCACTTTCCAAAGACTTTGTACTTCATGTAATAAAAAAAGGTGGAACAGTGAAGAAAAGTTTATTTTCGATGATTTCATTTACCAAAGCTGCGTGGCGGTATTCAAAATCATTAGAAATAAACAACAGTCTATTGTTGATCAAAAGGTACACAATATGATGTTCTAGAGGTGAATAGATAGTTTCTTAGGAGAGAAAAAAATTACTACCTTGTCCATGATAAGGTTAATGAATGTACCTAGTGTTTTTTGAACACAGAGCTGGTTTAAGCTTTTAAATTGTCAATGATTCGGATGTATAGATAATTCCGTCGTTGGCTTTTGGCATTGTAAGAGGGCTCAGGATGCGTTCTGTAATTTTTTTTTGATGGAACTACTTGAAGGGGCTAGTTCTTCGGAAATGTCAGGGTGCTCAGGAATAGAATAGATCTGATGGTGGTTTTTATCTAGATTCTGGATATCCAAGCTGGAATATGTTCAGAAATGTGCATACGGATTTGACGCTATGTGCGGCCAGTGAACATTGACTTTACAGGAACAAATAAAAATGACAGCTCCGTACTGAGGCGGTCAACAATGATTTTCTGTCCTTAACCTAATGATGGATTGACTGTCTATTGGAAAATATGGTTATCAGGCTAGTTGTGTGGAATGTCTTCCTTAAGTATCTCAAGAGGCGATTTCGGAAGATTTCATTTACAATATTGCCCCTGAATTCCTGGTTACGGTGGAGAGTATTTTAGGTGACAAATAGCTTAAAAGTTATATCTTTTCTTTCATGCCATAGTTCACGAGTCTAGGTGAATAAGGGTATTCTAGTTAGATGTTGTGTAGTAATTTTAACTTGCTGTCTTGTGTGTCTTCGCAGCAGATCTTCCGAATCCTTGAAACTAAAGAGAGTAAAAGATTCTGTTTGCTATCGAGATAACCTTGAGGATTGATAAATTGTAAAGCTACAGTTAAGTTATTGTAAAATTGGTATTTGAATAGAATTTTTCTACCTTCTTGCCTACATAACATCCAGGAGTAGGAACACTGAGTATTTTCATACTCTAGATCGAATTTCATACATGAATGTAAAGCACCGTAAGTGTCGAGGAGTTTGTTCAAGTGAGGTTCTTCATGGCTTTTGGTGAAAACATGATTGACTAACATTTTCGTAAAGGCATATTTGCCTGGTTAGTGAACTAAGAAAACCATTTTCAAGAGAGATCATGAAAGCATCATCTAGGACTGAACCAAGAGGGAACACAACTGCAATACTACCCTTCTATCCATAGAATTCTTCGCTGGATTTGAACTGTTTGTTGAGGGTACACCTGATGAGATGCTGTTCGAACAAACAGATAGCCAGATAAAACCAAAGTAGTACCATACACAGAACTGCATTAGGTATGCTAGGGTTGAAGTTGACAGATTTAATATAGTCACACATGAAGCAGATAGTCTGAACTAAGGATATGCTTGTCAAGAGAGAAGCAATATCCATAAAAGCTTTTTTCCCTGAACATAATGACATTTTTCACTGACTTAATGAAGCCAGTCTATTCTACCAAATGCTTGCTTTCCGATTTGAGGATATTTTCCAGCCGTTTAACAATGAAATGGTTGATCACACTTACTATTAGCTGAAGAGGAGCATCTTTTCTATGTACTTTAGATAAACCACATAACCTGGGGATGAGTGAACTATATGGTCTAAGTTGTACTTAATGGTTTGCATTAATCACTTATTTGTTCGTCATTTTGTTGAGGACCGTCATGAGATTTCCTGTTTGTCATTCTGGTTGTATGGTTTGTAAAACTTTGTCCGGTAAGACAGTCGGTCTGATCACTTATTGATATAGTCAAATCGATTAGGTACTACCATCCTTGAACCTTAGTCTGAGGGAAATATGTATCATTTTTAGTACTCATTGTAAAAGGTTACTTATACTTATACCTTTCTATGGTACCAAAATTTCCAGTGTAATAAATGGATCTGTAAACCTTAGTTTGTTAATATGCTCAAAGCATAATTTTTTGTTGATTAAATTTTAAATCATTGTAGATTTCCTATTTTTTATAACTAGTTATTGTAACCGAAGCATGTGTTATCTACGTTAATGACGTGCATAATGTCATATTCTTATGCAGGGTGGTTGACGTTAGTTTATCTGTGATGATGTTATAAAAATTATCTAAGTTTGTGAATCAAGAGTTTACTAAAGGCTTATTGAGCATTTGAAAACAATAGGTTCCCAGCAAAAATGAGACCTAGTGCATTACTCAAATGAATACTCTTTCAGTCGTGCAACACTATGGAATTTAAGTTGGTTTATCTTATGAACCACAAAACCTCATGGCATACGGTCTTTTAACTGCAATTGTATACGCTAATCCTTTGTGACATATGGTTTAAGAAGGAAATGAAATAAACATTGTATAACAGGCATTGTTTCTTTGTGTTGAAATGAGCAATTAAAACATACCGCCTATTATGCTACTCATAAAAGACGTATTGGCTTAAAAATTAAACGTTCACATTTACGTAGTGTGAATAATAAGCGGCAGTATTAGCCTTAGCACATCTTACACTTAACATATCATGAACACGGTTTTGTTCGAAAATGCATTTTTTAAAAACGCGTTTATTATTTCTTTTGTAAAGCAGGTTTCGGAATGTTGGCCACATGTTATATTGATGAACAAGAGAGGGATCATGCGTTTTCGATTGCTCTTACTGGATTAGCATTGGGCGTACTAAGTAAGGTTACGAATAATATCAAAAACTATTTGTAGTGTAAATTTTAAACAAGTTTGTATTTCATTTAGGTCAACGGTGGTCAAACGCAGCACTTAGAATGATACTTCGTGCTATAAGCGACTGCAGGGAAGCTTTATATTTGCATCTGAAGCTTCCGAGGCAGTAGTTAAGAATAGTAAAGCAAAAATCCGACATAATTCTATGGTCATTCTAAGGTTTTAATTTTGCCACTCAAGGTTGTAGTCAGATATATCACAACCTGGTCACTTTTTGTCAAGGTTAAATGAAATCGATACTTTTTGGAGATACTAACTTTCGGGCAACACGGTTTCTTGTTTCCTGAAAGTTCATTGAGGCACGTGGTCGGATATGACCATATCACATTATTGGAAAACGACCAATCTTTTCATCTATACTTATGGAAAAATATTAGGCGAATTCGTAAGCAGTCGTACTAAAAATAAATGTGATTGTATAGTTTGATTAATTCCTTAAGGGAATAGAGTTCATATTTTGTGGGAAGGAAGGTTGTTTCTAGCAGAATAATTATTTTAATTCTAGTAGGAATGATGTTTTGATGAAATTTGCCTACTGTCTTCCGTCATTTTAGCTATGAAACTGCTTTTCAAACATCCGTTGCAACTACACCTGGGAGTGGAAGTTGTTATCTCAATCAGCAATACACTTGAAAATAAACAACGTTTACCAATAAATGTTTCTTGACTAACACTTTCAAAGAAATATTCATATCCACCAAAGGGTTAACTGATGCATTTCGTGTATATGTGACTGATTTTCTTAATAATTATTTATTTTTGAGAAACATTCTTCCACTCCAGTTATTTCAAGAAAACACTTAAAACTAGCTCTGGGTTTCGACGTTGCATCATGGGACATGTCGACGTTATCAGAATTAACATAGACTACCATAAAGTAGCAAAAAACTAACATTATCATATCAACCTACAGATTTTCTGCATATTTCTGATCTTGATAAGACAAGCCAAAGCAACGTTATTCTAATGGATTAGGAAAAATGAATTTGAAAAATGAGTGGAAGTGAAATGAACACTTTGTTGGCAGTAGAATTCGAACCAGTGGTAACTGCCAATTGTTTGTCTTTCGTCGATGGCCCCAATTAGTCTTCTTATTTGGTCTGTACTACATAACACTCACGCAAAAACATGAAATATAGAGTCACTAGAATGTTTCTTTCAATATCATTGATAAATATATTTCACTGCTTGTTATCTATGAATCCTTGAGAGAATAAATCTGAAAATTGCTTCGGTTGTCCAACTGAAGAATACTTCAGTCTTTAAATGTGTAAATGTCTAGTCACCTGTGCACCGTATTCTGGATTCGATAAACCTGGTAGTCAAGAAAGGATATGAAGGTGTGGCTAAGTGGTTTAGGGAGCTGACTATCCACCACTGGGTCAGGGGTTCTAGCTCCGCTTCACCTACTGACGTTCAGGCAGACAGGTAGTATCACCAGCACTCATACAGTAAGTATGATTCATTGCCTACTGCAAGGATGTTCACAAGGTGGCTGACTGTATACATACACGAAAGGAAATGATAGTTTACTGTCAACTTACCAAATACATTCAGCCAACATCTCTGCAGCACTAAAAAAACTGAAATCATTTTTGTACTACTTTCATGGCCGTTTTTAGTCTGGTAATTTTTTATCATTGTTCAGCATGTTTAAATAACAATAACTTTTTGACCTAATACTGGCGTGTTTTCTGGACAATTCGGAACAACGCAGTGTGGAAGAGAAGCTTAAGTGGTGTATATCAGATGCACAGGAGCTGGTTGGAGGGTCAGCATTAAAAATAATTATTTTTGTTGTTATGACTCAGTCGATAAAAATCTGTACACTACCCTAAGTTTCACACTTGTTGACATTCATAATCAAGGTGTATTGATGACCTTATTAAGTCCAATGCTCCCTTTTAGATCAAAATCCGTTTCATTCATTGCTGAAATACACGACTAGGTTAGTGAGTTGTTTGGTCCAAAGCTAACCTTCATTCAAGTCACTACCGTAGATTCACAGTTTCAATCCTAATTTCTGTAAATACGACTCCAAACCTCGACAAAACCTAGAACCACTCCTAAATACTAACCTGAATAGCGAAACTATATATTCTCAATAGTTTCATTTTCTGCATAAGAATTCTCTTAGTCTCATTCCATGCTAATCTGTAATAAATGTGAACCAGTTGACAAACTGTCATTTGATTGGTTATGTTGACTAGTAAGTTCAGTTGTACTCGCAATATCACAATGTCATCCAAACATCAGAATTGAACTGCGTACTTTATTACCTATAAAAGAGAAACAAGTGGTTGAAATCAGTTTAAAGTTTTTTTCTTTTATATTTGATATTATAGTTGGGCCACCGTTTGGTGGAGTTACTTATCAATTCATTGGCAAACCTGCACCCTTTTTAATTTTGGCCGGTCTAACATTAATTGATGGTTGTAAGTGTTATCTTGTAAATCATGAGTTTGAAAATTTTTTATTCACTTATCAGTTACTAAATGCCATTGCTGTGCACTTTACTTTTTGTTAATCATTATGAGTTGCATCTATTCATTCATATTACTCTTCCTTATTTTACATTATTTTGACAATGCTGAGATATGAACATCGAAATCTGAATTATTTTTTATTAAAATCTTCCCATGAATGATAAAATTCTTTTCATCTGTCATAAGTTTATAGATGAAAAGTTCATATTTGAATTAGTTTGTGAGTTGTTCTATTGACTTATGGAACTAAAGGTGTATCAAAATTAGTTTTTGATACAAGATGGTTTAAATAACTCACTTTCCTCATTTTTTGCGTATTTAAATGAAAGCTTGCTAAAGTTCATATCTTACGTCCCGGACAACTACCAGTTTGAACTAACATACAAAAGAACTCTTTTATGTGGCCCAGGGTTTAACAGTTAATATCGTCTTATGACATATATTCCAGGTACTACTGCGGGTAAAAGCTTCATAATAAGTAAATAATCTAACCTTCTGTGGGCAGATTTCACTTTCTGGCATGATACCGCTAATATTAACTAGTTATGAGATATTTCATTTGAATTTATCAGAAAACCAAATTACATTCATATACAAACTATGTTTTGGACTAAAAGACAGTATTACTTTTGGTCGTTTTTATGTTGTCTAAGAAATCATCTTTATTTCATCCATTCCTGGAATATACTTATAACTTTATGATTTAGTCAAGCAGTATTCCAGTTATAAATGTTACCGCTATATACCTCTTTGACTAGCATTGAGTAAAATGGGTATAAACATCTGAGGTAGTATTATTTTCCCTGAAGTTTCAGAAATGACTTTTTTGAAGAATGTCAGCGAACATGAAATGTAGGCTAAAGTCTTTCAATGACCTCTTCCAACCATACAGCATCACGTAGTGTTCAGCTTGTAACTCGATGGCCTCATTGCTAATAAGTGAAACATTACTTAACAAACCGATGGGGGTGGATAACGTAACACTAGTTACTAGTATGTAACTCATCAAAGGAAGTAAGATTTTCTTTGAAATAACTCATACTTTAATAATGACACCAATATTTCCTTTTCTCTCTTCAGTATTACAGTTACTTTCTTTGAAGCCGGTTGTTCGACAAGAGGATGAGAAAGGTTCGTCGCTTTGGGAACTGATAAAAGATCCGTATATACTAGTAGCTGCAGGTAGTCGTTAAATATGTTTTTTTTTCCTACATGGGTATCTTCCAAAAAAAGTTTATTTCTTTGGTTTTGATTGAAAATGTCGTACATTTCATCGTCATGCCATGGTAATTTAAAGTGTAAACAGAAGTTAGGTGGCAAACTCTATGTTGTACGTCCTTATCTTACTTGTTAGTATACGGTACACTCTTCACACTGTCAGTTTTAAGAAACCAATTATTATTATTATTTATCCTTTGGGTTCCTAATGGAACATAGGGCTTCAGTAGCACGTCTCCAATGCGCTCTGTTCTCTGCAATCTCTTCAACCTGACTCCACAACAACCCACAAGCTCTCATTTCCTCCTCACACGATCTCCTCCATGTCACCCCCAACTGAGACGCCAAAATAGGCGCTTCCCATGAGGATTCCACTCGAGGGCCTAACCCGGCGTATGATATCCCCAATCGGCCTTCTCAATGTATGCTCAATCCGTCTCCACTTCCTTCCAGTGCATATTTGTTCAGCGATAGGTTCTTGGTTGGTTCGTTGCCAGCCAGCCAGCCAGCCAGAGTCCCTTGTTCCTTATTATTTCTGGCCATCTGAGCTTCAGTAACCAGCCAGCGTAGGCAGTTGTGTTGTTGATGAATGTCTGTAGTTTGTTGGAAATCCCTTTCGTAACGCGTCAAGTCTCTGAACCATACAGGAGCACTGACTTGACTGGATTGGTGTTGAAAATCCGGATCTTGTTTACGCTTTGTGTTGAGTGCAGAAGATCTCCACACCGGTTTCAGGCTAATGAACGCTTGTCTTGCTGTCTTTCCGATCCTGGCTGGCTTTGACGTCCCTGTCTGTGCCGCCTGTAGTTGAAACAGTGCTGCTTAGATAGGTTAAAGAGGCTACTTCCTTCAAGTTTCCCCCGTTCATGGTGATTGGAGCTTGTTGTTGTTGGTGGTGTTGTTGGTCGGGTATTACCTTTAGACACAAGTCACCGGCGAAATCCATGTCTTCTAGGTTCTTTTCCCCGGTCCAGCCAGCGTATCCCCCTCTTCTCGCTCCTCACAGTTTGTTGCATTATCCAGTCCACCACAATCAGGAATATCATGGGTGATAGTAGACAGCCTTGTTTCACTCCTTCCTGTCTTCACTTCAAAAGCATCACTGAGCTTCCAATTGTGAATTACTTGGCTGGCATGTGGCATGCGTCTTCATACGCTGCTTAGATAGGTTGAAGAGGCTACTTCTTTCAAGTTTCCCTCGTTCATGGTGATTGGAGCTTCTTGATGGTTGGGTATCTTCATCACCTCTGTCTTCTTCATATTCACTTGAAGTCCCGTCTTCCTTCGCTGCCTTGCTTCTTCTGTCAACTTATTGGTTTTTAACTAACGAAATATACCCATTTATTCGTTAACAAGAACAAGGCATATATCATCGAAGAAATATTTCTTCTAAATTTTTTTCAGTTTCCGAGTGTTGTACTTGAACTGCGGTCTACCACCAGCTTCCTTGAAGTATTTGAACTTGATTTGGTAGGGAAGTTCCTTGCACTAGAGTGAGTGGTCTGAACCTACATCTACTCCTCGTCTTTATCTGATCTTGTGTCAAGTAGGCTGCATCTCGACTTTCTTCACATTGAGATGAAGTCGATCTGATTCTTAGTGTAGTGTGTCCATCTGGTGTCTGGAGAAATCAAATCCATGTCGCTTTGTGGATATCCTTGTGCTTGAACACAGTGCCTAGCCTCCATTCACCAAATCGTTGAATGCACAGAATTCTGCAGACAGTTCTCCATTCTCGTTCATCACCTCACCTAGCGCTTCTCGACCCATGGTTAGTTCTCTTCCTGTGTTGTCTGCTCCCAGTTTAGCATTCATCTCTTCATTAGAACTGTGATATCATCAACTGCATTCTTCTCTAGGGCTGGTTGCAGACATCTGTAGAATTCTTCCTTTCTCTCTTGATCTGCATTATTTGTAGGTGCGTAGCATTGTACAATCGTGACTTTCCCTCCTTTCGAGTTGAACCTTGCTATAATGATCCTTATACTGGAAGGAATTGGTTTCCATCACTTGAGAGCCCTAGATGCTGTTGTGAACAGCATGATAGCCACTCCATAACTCAGTGGGCTCTTGCGTGTCGTCTGGGTGACAACATTGGAGTAGATTATTGATTCTACAGTTGACAGTTTGGAGAGTCCACTCCCATTCCATCCACTTTCGCGAATTCCCAGCACTTCACTGTGATACCTTCTCACCTCGTTTGCAATCTGGGCAGCCTTGGTAGGTTCAAACATGGTGTGGACATTCCATGTCCCCACGTTTACTTTCGCTTTCATGAAGAGAAGAGAAGATACATCGGCCAATTGGCTTCCCGAAGACTTTCACCAACCGGCGTCATTTCGTTTCTTCGATTCAAGCGAGGAATAATTTTGTTTTTATTTTTGATATTTTGTTTGCACTTTGAAGTTTCTGTAGTGGTTGGGTTTTTTTTACGGGGGGGGGGTTGCTAGCCTTATGTCCAACCTTCCCTCTTTATCTGGGCTTAGTACTGGCTAGTAACTAGTGAACTAGTTAACCAGGCAAGGTTTTTAAGAAACCTATTGGATAAATATTTCAGAAGAAACAGACTGCATCAACCATCCTAATTTCTTTTTTGCAATTTATTATGGTTGTTAACATGTGACGTTATGTGCCCAACACCAATTACACTCTGAATATCAGAATAGGACTTGTGCCGTTTGGCGAAACGTAATTTTATATTAGATTTGTTTTATTGGTATATCATAGAGTCACCTAGTTCATAATACTGTACCTCATACAGTGGTGTTTGCATTCTGTAGATGAGTCTTTTCACTACAGAAGTAACAAAACTATGAATGATTCCTTGCATCATGTATCATGGACAGATGGCACTATCTGTGGAAACAGCACCTAGAAACATAAACTTGTCACCATAGGTTACACAGTGTGGTAGAGACATAGATAAGATGTCCGTGCGATAGTTTTCAAACTACTACGCTTAAAGATCACTTCGCATCTTGACGACGGTCTTGTTATATACCTTTAACTCTAACCTCCTCATAATTTTCACTGTTATTCGAACTCAAATTTTGTATCAATGAAGACCAGAGTAACAGTTTCTTCCAGTACTATCATAATTCAAGCTACCAGCCAAACAACTTATTATCCTTACTTTATAACACTGTAAAAAAAGTAAGGTTAACCAAATATCTTTCGATGTCACAGCACTGTACACATCCATCGAACCTCAGTTAGCCAAGGAAACGATATCACTCCTGCTCAATGAAGGCAAAATCCTTTCAGAACGTACAAAACTCAAAAGTTCAAATCTGATGGAACTCATCGTCTTTTGTACGACAATATACTTCTAATTCAATGGCAAGATATACAAACAGATGAAATGAACTCCAATGGGATCACCGATATCCGAATTAATAGCAGAAGCAGTAATGCAAAGACTGGAAGCCATCATTCTACCTGTGATCAAACCAAAAGTCTGGATTCTCTGTGTGGACGACACTTTTGTCATCATTAAAAAACATGATATAAAAAACATCCACAGTTTGATCAACAACGTTTTCAGTGACATTAAATTCACAATGGAGAAAGAGTCAAACAACCAAGCAGCTTGTTTCGTTAAAAAGATAATCTAAAGTTGCCCTCGAAGTCATTCAGAAAGTTGGAGTACCCTTGCTCAAACTGTTTATAAAACAAAAAAACTATATGCAACCCTGATTTCTCCAACTTACAGTGATTATTCAAAAGACTGCTTCCTTGTCATAAATAATATCAAGTTTCCATGCAGTATATAACTAGACGATAAGACTTCAATATTGGGGCTCCTTAAAATGATGTATTCTGCATCAGTCTGAGAAATGCCCTGAAATCTCATCCGCTTAAAGTCATATAATCCAACTCTAAATTTCCCAGTTGACTTATTATGTGTCATTCTGTTGCTAAAATTATATGCTGAAACCTATCAAGAAGAAACTTTAACATACTGCCTACAGCTATAAGCAGCTTGCTAGAATGATAATGTGAGCATTCACACTATCCTTCCGTATTAACTTAGCTGACTTCCTCTTTTCAAATTTGAGAAGTGAAATTCAAGATACAGTACTTCAGTCTGCGTTCGACCACGTCTGCTTTAGGATGAATTGACATAGGCAGCCGCTGACTACTGGACTTGCCCACTGTCTGGTTGGCACACAACATGTTAGTTTCCACAGCTATCAGAATATTCACTTGACAGAGGATGGAAAAGCTGTTTTCTCCTGATGCGTTTCTGGCTTTCAAGCACACTTGGCATTAGCTTTGTGTCCACAAGTGATCGACTACTAACTTATCTTGACCCTGGTGGTTTCTTTTTTAATGACCCTACTGTATCACTCTTACTAGTTATTTTCTGACTAAAATTTTTAAACATTGTTAACTGACTTCCACCTGCTCATGTGTCATCTGTTTCATATAACCCACAAGTTTTTCTCTTTCATTTAGATTAATTCTGTCATTTCACCATCACTTCTGTTGTTTTTCACCCTTTCCAATTTGTAAATTCTGATCTTCACTTTGATCTGGTTGGTGAATTCTGGGGATTGTTCTATTCAAGTTCTACGGTAGTATATTTCATTAATTTACTGCATTTTGTGCCAGACATCACACCATGTGATCGTGGCTGGATGAAACTCCATTGACGCCATGGTTGGACAGTTGGGAACAACTACTCAGCTGTGAGAAGAAGTGTCAACGTGGACATTGTGCTTTGTAAATCATTCGCAAACTGATCATTCTGTTTAAAGTGTACAGGTTCATGCAGTTCAGCTAACCAGCTTCAGGTGACCTCCACAACTCAGCTCTGTGAGGTGAATTTGTCCGGGTATACCACTCCTAAGCTCAGCCCCAAACAACCAAAACATCCGTTTTATGTTTAAATTACTGCGATATATCTGAGTAGTAGTTCCTAGCTACTCAAGTTATTCGGTAATACATTATCAATACAGAAG